GACAATTAGTCTTTTGGTAGCGCTGATCTCCATGGCGATATTTATTTTTCCACTGCTCGAATTTTCTGAATTGGTGTGATCGCTCCAAGTTCCTTTTATGCACTAATAAGGGGCCAAGTATTGTATCGTTATTATATATAGGCACATTCAGAATTAAGTGGGATGTAGGTTAATCACTCGCCAATTAATACACGATACCTTCTTCACGCAATTCTTCTATTATCGATATTATCTCATTATCGTGACCGGTGTGACCAGCCATTTTAGAACTCCACAATAATCGCAGGCGGTCCACCAATTCTTTGATATCATTCCAATAAACATACTCTTTTCGCTGTTTGCCTGCGAGTTTATCAGAGGGTAATGTTGGTTGCAATATACTTCCTCCTCCTTTTTCACCATGGTGCAATTGTTGATTCCTCATTTTATATGGTGTGCCTATCAGTGGTTTGATCACCTGCTGATATTTCTTCTTGGATTGTGTGCTATCATTTAACCCTTCCCTAATATCATAGTTCCTATATGGTGCCCTTGTATTCTCCAATAGGGCTGCGTATAAACGTTTATCTTGATCGTTAATGGATCTTGGCACATGTTTCATAAAAATCAACTTATATAGCTCAATGGTGGCCGGAAAAACCTTGGTTCGCTTATTTCCGCGCCATAATTCAATTTGACCTGCAGGAAAATGAATGTCCATGTTGCCCATCTTCAATTTTCCCGTTTGTTCATCAATATAAACACCATATGTGGTGTCATAATTAGGATCATGGGATACCAAATTATCTATATGTTTTTTCAATTGCACCTGTAGCTCGCTTGTGATTGTTTCGTCTACTGCTGTAGCAGCATCACTCTTGGAAATATGAGAAGAAGATGATGATGGCGGTGTTTCCAGTCCCGTTATAAATTTGGGCTGGCTATGCGATGTCAAAGAATCATTTCCACTGAAACTCTCCCGCGTCATGAGTTTTCTAGGAATCTTGGTGGTAGTAGTAGTGGTGCCGATTCCCCCATTTTCTGATACCGGTGTGGAATGATATGTAGGATGTGCTATTATTGATGTTGAAGGTTTCTTGTTTTTCCCTGTTGTGGATGTGGTAGTAGTGATTTGAGATTGATTTCTCGCTGCGGCTGCTGAAATAGCATTCAATGGCTTCGTCAATGGTTCATACACTCTCTCCAATGCCGTTTGGTTATCAATACGTTCGTTCTTGAGACTCTTGAACTTTTTTCTCACTGCAGCAGTCGCTTCAACAAGTTGCTGTTTGAGATTTATCTCAGAAGTCATCGTGCTTTTCTGTTCACTAGATGCGGCCATTGTGGTATCTGAAGATTGAATGAATCATGCTGCACCAACATACTAGAGATATATAAAGCTATCGAATCCTTTCCTATAACGCCCCTCATGTATTTCACTGTCCTTATCGATAACGAGAAACCCGTATCTATCCGTCCAACTCTGCGCGCACATATCTTGGAATTGTTTGAAAGTCACATCTGGCGATACGTGATCGGAAAAAATATGATGTAAATTCATGTCATCTTGTTTGAACATCACTATGAAGTTCGAATTGTCACGCAATAATTGCTTCCCAACTTTGGAATAACTCTGTGCCAGGAAGAAACAATCCACATTTTTGTGACGCCCCATTGAGAAATAAGATCTGATAACATCCTGTTTTTCACATATAACATCATCGAATATGAAAATGCTGTCAGGTTTCGCATCTGCCGGTTCAACTATGTCCACATTATTATTATACGTGTAAAATCCTAACCCTTTAATCGGTTCCATCACTTTTCGCAAGTACTCATACTTTGGTTGGTATAGTGATTTCGAATAGATATAAATATTGGCAAAACGTAAACCATTTTCATTGGTCAGAAGTGAAATCATAACATTAGTTTTCCCGCAATTCGATGGGCCAATTATCAGACCGCGAATAGTATTTGGGAAAAGGGCTCCATGTCGACGATTGGTATCAATACCTAACCCTATTTTTTCATCAAAATTGGCTACACTGAACGTTTCCTTTTGCTGAACAATCCGCATTGTGCGGTGGTTGAAAGATATATAAAGAAGCGTTAGCGTTGTGAAGCTCATTTATATTATGAAAGTGAAACGTAGCACATCGAAAACGAAGAAAGGAAAGAAAAGGGGTAGAGGCATTGTTAACACACTGATCAATAAATTACCGTTTGAATTGCATATTCCTGGTGGTTATCAATATTGTGGACCTGGAACGAAGTTACAAAAAAGGTTAGCTCGCGGTGATCCTGGAATAAATCAATTGGATAAAGCCTGCAAGGAACACGATATTGCGTATCTTAAGAATACAACCGATTTATCTGCTAGGCATTCAGCAGATAAAAAATTAGAGGAAGCCGCGTGGGAGAGAGTAAAATCAAAAGACGCTAATCTAGGAGAGAAGAGTGCATCCTGGTTAGTTACCAATATAATGAAGGGAAAGAGGCGCTTTGGTATGGGGTGTAATAATGGAGTGAAGAACCGACGAGTATCGAGAAGGAAGAGGAAGAATAAAGGGAAGAAAAAGTGTAGAAAAATTGCTTTCGGATCGGGTGTAGTTCAAAAAGTTCGCCGAGCACTACGTCAAATGGGGAATAAGAGAAAACTCACCAAAAACTTGACTAAAACATCACTAATGGCGATCGACGCTGCTCGAAAATTTGTAAAGATGGCTGGCGGGAAAAAAAATATCAAAACACCCCGAATCATACCTATCCCAAAAGTTGGCGGAATTCTTCCGCTCATACCCATTTTTGCCGGTTTATCAGCATTGGGGAGTCTGGCTGCGGGTAGTGCCGGTATAGCTCGAGCTATTCATTCAGCTAAAGAGAGTAAGGAGCAGCTGGCTGAGGCAAACCGTCACAATAAGCATATGGAGGCGATCGCTCTCGGAAAAGTCGGCAGAGGAGTCTATTTGAAACCATATCGGAAAGGGATGGGTATTTATCTCAAGCCCCAGCATTCAAAAAACTAGCCAAGTTACCTCGGAGAGCTCTTACAGACATTGATCTATTGCATTATATAGATAAAATGGCGGTGCCGCACTTTCGAGGTATTTTCATGAGAGATAATCTACCCAACTCTGGCCCACATCGCATAGAATCAGCAATACTGAATCTCGATAGTATTCGCGGTGATGGTACACATTGGGTTGCATATAAGAAGAGAAATGGGATAGTTGAATATTACGATAGCTATGGGGATTTGCCGCCTCCTGAGGAGTTGTTAGAATATTTAAGGAAAGGATCGAAGTCGGTTAAAGCCATCAAAATCAAGTATAACTATGAGCGCCAGCAGGATTTCAACACAGTCTGGTGTGGTCACCTGTGCTTGAAATTTCTCTCAGCTAACAGTGGCATCAGTGAAATAAAAGTTGCAAAACATGGATAGGCAGAGTATCAAGCGGATGGGACATGCATTATTGGCTTTTTCAAGATTACGCTCCTTACTGGAAATGAGTGAGAAACAGTTGGCTGATATGCCGAAAGAAGTACTCATCGGGTTGGCATCACATGAGATAGCTATAGTGTGGGATAAGTTACCGGAACAATTACAAAACGATCCGGATATAGCCAAATACCGATTTTGTGAAGAACATTATGGTGGAGAGCAGGAGGAGGGTGGCCAACATGCCAACATCGATGTGAATGATGGACCAGCGCCAAGAAAAATATTATGTTGTTTTTGTCAAGTGAAAGATGTAAATGTGGCAACTAATAATAAATTTGATATTAATTCTTCGCCTACCGAAAACCCGGGCATTCTTCATTGTTGCAGGCAGCAATAAGGTTGATGCTCTTAACGCTGCTACTGTATATATTGACGTTTGTTTTTGGTTTTCGCTGTTTTGTTTGTTTTCTCCATTCATGAGAAGTTATGTCGCAAACATTTACCATTTCTGGAGATCGTAGTATCCTGAGTGCAGACTTTTTTCCACCAATTGAGCTCGATGTGAGGAATACTTACGGTTTGGGGTTACACGGGTTCTATTCATACAACTCTATACTCAATATAGATGAGACAAATAACAAATTAGTTGTTTGGTATGAAGGGGAAAGCTTTCTTGTTGAAATACCACCAGGCGCCTATGAAATAGAAGAAATCAATAGAGCAATACAAAAGGCTATAGAAAGAGGGGTTCCGCTAAATGGGCGAAATATTGATGATGTGTTCTCTCTTCGTGCCAACAATAATACGCTCAAATGTGAACTCAAGTCCGAATTCTTGATAAGTCTAGATATTGCTACTTCTATAGCCAAAGTGTTGGGTTTTAAATCGGGATTTTACCGGCCCAATATTTTGCATGAATCCACTTTACCTGTGAACATCATAAAGGTACGATTGATACGGGTTGATTGTAATATCACCACTGGAGCATACCTCAATGGTGAGGAGGTTCACACGCTTTACGAGTTCGACGTCGACGTGGAGCCAGGATACAAACTTTCAAAGGAGCCGAAAAATATAATATATCTACCAATCAGTCCGACAGGGCGTCAGTCTATCGACAACATCACACTGAGAATTTTGGATGATAACGATCATTTAGTCGACTTCCGAGGAGAGAAGATTATAGTGAAGTTGGAATTGAAACAGCTAAATTAAATTTTCTACGTCGATTTGGAAGATGGGCTTCTGCTTTGGAAACCAATCAAAACGTGTATCGCTCGCTACTCACCCCACTATTCTGCACATTACCAATAAGAAGAAGTGTAAACGTGGGAAAGGATTCAGTCAAGGGCAAATCACCGGTCGAGGAAGACATCATAAGCTTTCTGCGAGCGACCTAAATTTTTTGAAGTCTATTGGGTTGAGAGTAAAACGACGAAGGATCAGAAATAAGTGAACGATGGTTGCCACAAGTTCTACTAGTTTACAATTGGAAGTGTTTGATGAACCAATTTTTGATCATTCACTAATTAGCCTACATGAGCATACATACAAACCATATGGTTCTCCATCATTCAAGAATTCCGATGAAATTAGGATTGCTGTCAATTTTCAAGATTTGATACTGGATATTGCTGAAAGCTACATTTATATCGAGGGAAAATTCATCCCGAACGATTTAGCAAAAACCTGCCATCTGTCCAATAATGCGCTCGCATTTCTGTTCGATGAAATCCGTTATGAAATGGGTGGCGAACAGGTGTGTTTGATTCGAAAACCGGGCATTACCACTACAATGAAAAGTATGATATCTTATGGTGAGACAAGCACCAAATTTTTAGACACGGTTGGATGGGGTCTCGATGAAAATAAACAGGTGATTCTAGATACACCCAGTCATACATTCAGCGGAAAACTACCGCTTAAATTTTTAATGGGGTTTGCAGAGGACTATAATAAAGGAATTCTGAATATAAAGCAGGAGCTTATACTCATCATAGCACGCTCATTCAAAAACTCCTATATGGGGGAAGTTGATGCGAATGTGACGATCAACAAAATCGAATGGAAGATAAGGCATGTGATGCCGTCCGATAGGCAGAAATTGAAGTTGTTGAATCGATTGAATAAAAGTTCTACAGCAAAAATCAAGTTAGCATACAGGATGTGGGATTTGTATGAGTTACCGGCCATTCGTGAAACAGCTTCAGATATTTGGGCTATCAAAACAACTAGTAGCCTCGAGCGCCCGAGATACATCATTATCGGTTTTCAAAGCTCCGATAATACAGATGATAGATCCAAGGACGCTACGAAATTCATTCACGCAGGAGTGAATAATATTCGCCTTTACTTGAATTCAGAAGTTTACCCATATGAGCGCTGGAATTTGGATTTTGACAGAAAGTTAGATGCTGTGGCTTACTATGCATACGAAAATTTCCAACGTAGTTACTATGGCAAAGATATGGGTGAACCAATGATGAGTATTGAGGAGTTCCGAAAAAATCCGTTATTCATCATCGACTGCTACCACCAACCCGATGCGATGAAAACTTCTACTGTCGACATCAAATTGGAGTTTGAAACCCGCGAAACGAAGTTTCCACCAAACACAAAGGTTTACGCACTTATTCTTCATGACGCATATCTGACATATAGCGCATTAGATGGTTCCATACAGATGGGTGCTCCTTGAATACGATAGATGCGGATCCACTCCTCACTGACACCGCCACCGTCATCACATTAGTTATTAGATCACTCTTCATGAAATTTATCATTACTCAATCTACTCGATATTGTTATTCATTGTAATCAATAAAATACAAATGTACTAAAAACTATTGTTTTATTTTTACATCAAAATATTATCGGCATTACACATTACGCGAAAATGCTATATAGATGCCCAATTCACCCCCTTTGTCCTCCTTCATCTTCAGTGTCTGGAATCACCCCCAAGTGGTATTTCCGAATCAGGCTGTTTGGTAGCAAATCGAAGATTTCATAAAGAAATTGTTCCAAGTCTTCTTCAACCATTGCTTCAAGGAATTGCTCCAAAGTAATGTTGCTGTATTCATAGCGGGCACATAGTAGAAATCCAATTTTATATTTTTCAGCTTGTTTGAGGAGGCGCTGAACTTGTACTTGATCGAAGCATACACTCATATCATAATTCCCTGCATGTAGTGTATCACGCTCCAAATCCATGAATCGACATTTCAACCTCCTCACAGCTGATCTGATATCTTCCGCCGTAGGCCAAAACTGACTAGAATAATTCATACACATTTCGGGAACGTGTGCTGCACAAGAGTGATCAATTCTGTAAATAAACAAAACATTCAGGTAATGGATCACGGTGGAAAAAATGTAATGCTTGATTCCAATGTATGTAGCCAATATAACACTCACCAAAAAAAGTATCGAAATCAATGATGATTAGCGATAAAGTGATGATGTTAATGTAAGAATTATTATATAATTTTTAAACCTTTTTCACTACACTATATCGAAAAACTAATTGAGGAAATATGAAACTATTTGTCAATTACACCCCCCTTGACATCAAACTTGATGAGAGCCCGCGTCTTTGCACCTGCAAATGAAGGTTCACTCTGACCCAAGTACGTTAAAGTATAAACGCCGTTAGAAAAATTTATCTCATCAACATCGCTTTCTTTCAAAAGGTCTACAACTCTTTTTGGTAACCAACATTTTAAGCTCACCTCAGTTTCTTCATCGTACAATATAACGGTGCCACTTCTACCGAATCGAGTCCCACATAACGATATTTTCCTGATTATAAAACTCTTATTCAGTGGTAGCGACGATATTAGAATTTGTTTAATAATTTCATTTTCCTCATTAATTCGACTATTGATTGCGACTAGATCAATTTTAGGAGGAGCCATTTCTATTTTTACTTGTCGAGTGAAAGAAGGAATAAAAAATATATAAATAATTGAACTTACGTAAATCTGATATCACACTTTATCGCACTTCCACTGATCTGACAAGATTGTTCAGCCAGCAGTATTTTCGGAATAACTATGCACTTGAAGATGGGGATTCTGTATTTATAGAAACTCGGACATGGAATACCCCACTACACCACCAAACATCCTTGAGAAGAGGCACAAATGCGCACGAAAATTACTCCCCCCAAGGTCACCACGACAATTGTCCGAGATGAAACCTCCGTATCCCTCCCAAGGTCACTCCCAAGGTCACTTCTAAGACCACTCCCAAGGTCACTCCCAAGGTCACTCCCAAGGTCACTCCCAAGGTCACTCCCAAGGTCACTCCCAAGGTCGCTCCGAATGTCACTCCTCCAAGGCCACCCCCCAAGTTAACTCCCCCCAAGGTCACTCCCCCCAAGGTCACACTCCTCTGGCCTTGGGGGGAGATTTGGAAATGGCTAAAGCCCTCTACTTATTTTGCAATTGTATGTATAATTTTCCACTCTCGCTATATTAGAAAATGATAATTATTACTTGTCACTCATTTTCCATAAATGAATTTATTCATTCCTAAAACGGATCTATTTTTTAGGAAAGTTGCAGATCATATCTTGCAACAGCGCATGATCATAATACTTAGAACCCGTTTACTATATCCTGACAGGCACATCAAGAGCTCATATGATCTTGTGGTTATGTATATTTTTGTTTACTAGTTCTTCTTGTGTCGATTCTTGATCTACAGTTATTCGGTAGCCAATGTACCCGGTAAACAAGTAAAAACGGCTGTCATATCTAGCATTCTTCCTCGATAGTTGATATCTTTTTTTGGCGAGAAGCTATCACTTTTCCCTTTTCGTTGGTCTGTTGAGATTCAGTTTCTCTATTACATCGTGTCATGATATGCGTACCATCAGATTCATTCTATCTCAAATTTGTATCATTATTCGTTGCTGAGATATGGCCGACAGCCGTTCTTAGTTGTACACCTTGTATACAACTTGAAGTTGTTTTATCAGTTGATCATCGCTATTTTTGATGATTCAATCATCAACGACTTCAAGACTTTTTCTATTTTTATTCTCGTTTTTCATTCGTCAGCTATTTGCTAGCTATATTCTTCATCATCAGCTATAATCAGATAAGATTCAGAATTTCCGCCTGGTATTTGCTTCATCTTGAAAAAAAAAAAAACAACTTGGAATTTAATGATCTCCATTCTAGACAGCGTGGACATGAAACTGTGGGGTTCCGAACTCATTCATGAAAAATCATCTGGAGGGAATTTACCCATTATAACAAACGATCCTGCTCGATGGACTGTAATATTCCTGATCTTTGATCATTTTGGACTGTATGAAAGAGTGATTATCAACTAAGAGCAGAAAAGAAAAGCGATTCACTACGTGAAAGAATTGTATTTTCTTCACCGGCCGGATATCGGATTTTCAGACTGTGATACTGATTATCTATCAATTTTGCGGCGTGTAAGTGCTGTTGCACCGAACCACTGACCGAACTGAATACAAGGGAGATCACAAACTATACCTAGTTCCACTATTTTTCGAAAAATGGCCACCATACTGATTTAGAACAATTATCAATAAGTAATTCTTTACTACTTGAATTTTGAAGGGTAAGAAGTGGCTATGAAATTCCTGAAAAAAAAGGGAATGGTTGTTATCCCTTAAACCCTGCTGTGGAGGCTAAATATAATGAGATTGTAATAAAAATTCAGTGTTTAAAGTGACCCATTCATTCCGAAGGAATAGAACACTGACTAGCTCAGTGGTAGAGTGTTCAATGTATACTAAATTCAATAAAACACAACACAGGTGCTGTTCTGGTGTTGCAGTTACGAATTTGGCCCCATTTTATACTTAACAAGCAGTGGGGTTTTTCCCCCCACTGATAAGAAATATTGTATAACACAATACTGTCGTCTATACCTCGGTGATCACCTCAAATCACATAGATCTTTCACTTAATGAAAAGAATGGCCTATTTATTGAAACTTCTGTAGATTGATTGTAACCTTCCAGCAGGCTGATGACATAATTCTGATAGGTCTTGCAATATCCAGGTAGTAGTGCCCCAAAATAAACTATAAGACGCTTACCAGAGAGCAGGATCTTAGTTTAATGTGTTACGTTCCCACTTATACTACCATCTTCTAAACAGTACAGTCCTGGATGGCTCGAAGCAGTAGGATGCTGTAAATCCTATGGTGACTACTGCAGGCAAGCAGTCAGCAGCTAGTTAGTTGGACCCCTTGTTTGACATCCAAAGAATCAATCATACAGGGGACGAAACTTGTAACTTCAAGAAGCCAAGTACATCAGGGATTCCAAGTACATCATGAAGTCCATTAACATCAAGAATTCCAAGTACCTCAAGAATTCCAAGTAGGTACCTTAAGAATTCCAAAGAAGAGAAAACACCTGTAAACCTATTTCCATCTTGGATGTTGATAGTTATTATCCTTGGAGTAGTACCAGGAATATTACATACCTTTGGATGGTGTGTGGGCTTCACGTGGTGATGAAGATGGCCGGCGAACGAAGACACAATAATCCTCTTTCGAGATTTTCTGAACTCCAAGTCCAGAATAAAGTGGAAGAAGTCTCTCTTAATCCCACCAGTAGTGGAAATAAACGAAATACGATAAGCGATACTCAACGAAATAAAAGACTTCAATCATAACTAACGTTCTACCGTAGCCAGTCAAAAGGACGCTTGAGACGCCATTTTCCCTTCACCCTTAGAAAATCAATTTTCCAGGAAGAATCCCCACTTGTTGTGTGTGTTGTTATCTCTCTCTCTCCTAGATTTGGCGTGCAAGAAGAAGGAGTTATGCGCATGACCGATTTAATGATAATATAATAATAATAATACTTCATTTCCCAATGAGACAATGTTACAAATTGTATAGGAAATTGTCAGAACATAGAACAGAAGCAAAAATACAGAAAATGTAGAAAAGACAATTCAAAGATCAAGACCTATGTCTAGTCTAAAAATTCTGTCAGCGAATGATAATATTTTTGCATCAAAAAGCTGTTTAGCGTCTTTCTGAAGAAAGCAAGATGCTCTGCATTCCTTATGTGGTCAGGAAGTTTAATGAAAATTCTTCTTCCGATGTGCTCAGGTGATCTGGAGGTTATTCTCAGTATAGCAAATGATACATGAAATTGATCTCTCATCCTGGTGTTAAAGTGATGGAACATTTTTATTCACTTCGAAAACTGACCGGTTTTTATATATATATACAAACATATTACTGAAATATATATATATAGATACTAACGTTAACACATTAAAATCTATAAAGAGTGGTTTACAAGATTCTGTTGTCGAGACCTCCGCAATACATCGCAATATGCGTTTTTGGGCAATGAATACATCTTGCGCCATGTTTGAACTACCCCAAAAACAGACACCATACCCAAGTCTGGACTCTACCTGGGAGTAATAAATATTCAGCAGCTGAGTTCTATTCAAAACCGAGCGCAAATTCATAAAAAGAAACTTCAGGGAATCAAGTTCGGAAATTAAGTGTTGACAGTGGACATTCCAGTTCAGAAACTTGTCAAAGAAAATACCCAGAAACTTGACACTTTCGTGAGTCTCCAGATATGTTACATTGTCAACCATG